TCATCTCCTCAGACCTTGGGGTCTCTTCCTGCCCCTTTCCCAGCCCCCACAATTCTGGGGGACCAAGGTCAAAAACGTGTGGGGGCTTGAGAGGAGGTACAGACTTGTTTGGTGGATTCCTTTCCTGAAGGAAATGGCACAGGCTGGGAGTGCTGCAGAGGGACAGGGGATCCAAAAAAGAGCCCTGTTTGGGAGGGCAGCGAAGGAGTGGGATGGGGTGGACAGTGCAGCACCCCCACCAACACCCCACTTCATGTCCTGCAGATTTTAAGGCCCCTCTTGTGGTGCAGGGGTGTGTTCAGCTGCCAGCTCTGCTCTCTTGGGGTGAGGAATCAGGACGCAGCTAGGAGCTTGTTTTTGGAAGATGCTGGAAGCTAGAAGGGGGATGTCTCTCTGAGATGCCTTGGCACGGGCGGGTGGGTGGCCGGTTGCCGCAGGTCAGCACTGACGTGCCTTGGCAAGGCCACCCGGAGAGATCAGGGTGGGATGCAGCAGGATGTGCCGCAGGTTGAGCTGCCTTGGAAAAGCCACGCAGAGAGCAGGGTTGGGGGGGACCATCACCCAGCTGCCTGGGGGAACCAAACCTTGCCCAGCCACCACTGTCACTCCATTTTCCTGCCTGCTGCGTTCTGGGGCAGCACAAGGGGCTGCAAGAAACACTGTCCCTGCCAGACCACGCAGCCCTTCCCCCAGCTCCCCAGGGCTCCCGTCTGCCCAGCCGTGCATGTGGCTTCACTGCGCCCTTCTCGCTCCAAGCGGGAGCAGTTACAGTTTGTGGTGCCCAAGAGGGCAACCATGGTGGGAGGGGGTCCCTGGTGGGAAGGAGAGCAGCCCTGGCCCCGCAGCTGGGAAGTCACTCTGGGGTTGCTTCTGCAGGGTCAGGTGCTGGGGGGGGTTTGGTTTTTGAAGCCACAATGCTCTGTGCAGCAGGATGCTGCTTCTTCCTCTCCAAACCTTGGTTCCCCCCTTGGGAGGAAAGCCCATGCCCTGGAGGGGATGGTGGCTGTCTTGGAGAGTTTATCAGGGCTGGTGGGCACTCTGCCTGCCCTTGGATGCTGGGATGCAAGACGTGAAACACGCCCAACTCCTTTCAGAGGCAGGATGAAAAGCTAGGGGCATGAGCTGGAGAAAGGAAGTTCTTATTATGGAAAAAATCTTCGCTGTGAGGGTGATAAACACTGTCACAGGGACCAGACTGGGGCAGGAATTGCCATCCTGGAAATCCTCCTGATCTCTAGCTCTGAGCAGAGATGGGCCAGGGACCTCCAGAGATCCTGATGGAACAAAACCCTGGTGTGATTCAGAAAGTCCCAATCTGTAGCAACCCGCACTGAGCAGAGGTGAGGAGGTCACCAAGGCGAGGGAGATCACTGCCCAAGAGCCCAGGGTCTGAGGGTGCAGGTCCTATGTTTGTCAGGAGCCATTTCTCTTCACAGACCCCATGCACAGAGGTGAATGGAGCAATGAAGGATGCCGGGACTCCATTCCCACTGGAAGTCCTTGTCTATGTGCTCTGGCCTGCAGGGTACTGGAATTGCTCAGCACCCTCCTCTTCCCCAGCAGCAGTGCAGGGAGACCTTTTGCACCAGACAGGATGTGTTCATGAAGTCCTGTTTGGTTTGTAGGTGAGAAGATGTAGCTGAGGTGACCAACTCAAGGGTCACCACCGGTAGAGGACACTGGATTTTTTTGGAACAACTCCCCCAGTCCCTCTGCCTGGGACAGATGGCAGCTGAGACACGGGCTCAGCTCCAAGTGGACCCTCTGTAGCCATCACCTACTTTTGAGCATTTTCAGGACATGGGGCCCATTTTTGCTCAGCTTCTGGGGGAGGCAGTTCTGGCTCCCTGTAAGACACAGACTTCACTGGCAGCTCAGGAAGCCAATGTGTCCCCTCCTGCTCCAGAGGAGGGGAATTTCTTGCAGGCCCAACCTGCAAAGAGAGCTGCTCTAATGGCTGGTGTCTTGTTGATCTTGAAATAAGAGACCAGGGACCCAAAGCAAAAGAAGGATATGCCCCCATTATCCTGAGAGCTGGGACTCATATTGCCCTGGGTATCCTCTGAGCGGGTCTCCCTAAAATGTCCTAAGGGAATGTCCCTTCTCTGCTGAGAAGGACTGAGAAGGAAGGGGAGATCAGTGAGCAGAAAAGTAAAGGTGAGCAAGAGTGAAATGATTGCATGGGGGAAGAGCAGAGGCTCTGGGAGAGAGGAGGTGACACCTCTCCTCTGTCAGGCACCAGTGTGACTGATCTTGGAATATTACGCACAGTACCTGTGCCTGAAGTTTTGAAAGAAGATTAAAAAACTGATTCAAGGCTTGGAAAAATACCGTTCAGGGAGAAGCGTAAGTGAAACTGCCTGAATTCTGTGCAAAAATAAGCCAGAGAAGGTTTGATGGTAAAGCCAGGCAGGTGTCACAAGGAGGAAGGCTGGGGACAACAGAGCAGTCTTAGGACTGTAGAGCCATGGCTTGAGCCTGACATCTTCATGTATTGGGCAGTGAGAGAGAATTGAGCTGCCAGGACTGTTGATGGTGGCCATGTCTTTTGGTGTCTGCAGATCTGTGTGAAAAAAAAGACTCCGAAATTCCCCGGTATATCCTGATAAAATGGGAAGACTGGTCCCGGGGAGAGGGGTTCTGACTGACCTCACCTCCTCCAGCAGAGAAACCTCTGCAGCTCTCCTCTCTGTGTGGGTGATACTACAAGAAATTCGACCTGCTCTTCCCTGAGAAGAAGGTCCTGTAGCCACAAGGGAGTACCTTGTCAGCTCCCAAAGTAAGGGGTTACAACCCTAACACAGCCCAAACATAACCCTTACAGCTTCCCTTGGCAGAACTCATGATCCTGTGCTTAGATCCTGAAACCTCTCCTCTCCTCCCCTCTCCTTGGGCAATGCGCTAAAGAGCAGCTGGAAAAGTTGGAGCTGAGACCCTAGCAAGGAGGCCAAGGGGCAGAAGTTGGACTGGATGTTTCCTTGTCCTCTCCCCACACACATCTTGCATCAACACCCAAACAATATCCCAGTGCCTGCAGTCCATGTTGGAGTCCCACATCCCTGGGATGGGCTGGTGGTTTCAGAAGGGAAAGGCAGGAAAAGGTATGTTTCCTTTGTCCCTTTTTCTAGTTTTTAGCCATCTGATTCTATGGAATCAGATCCTGGATCTCTGGAGTAAAAATTCTAATTCTTCCAGTCTTGGACAGATATGGGAATGTTTCCTGTTTCCCTGCCCCTCCTTTCACTTCATTTCTCTGTCCCCATTCCCAGGATACGGACCACCTCTACCTTCCCACTCTCTCCTGGCCTCTACCAGGGACTGTGTGTCCCCCTGGGACACTCCCCAACATCCCCATCTTCTCCTGGGAGCTTTGCAGATCCTCCAGGTCTCCCTTTTCTCCCCCACCAGCCCTACTTCTTTCCTCTCTGTCTGGGAGATCAGTCATCGAGGGTGTCGACGCACACGCACCCGACTCCCCCGGGAGGATGGGGAGCTGGAAGCTGGGGGTGGTGTTCTGCTGCGAGAAGGCAAAGCTGCCATCAGCAGCCGCTTTGATCTGGAGACAATTACAGACGAGTGTAGGACCCCGCTCAGCTCAGCCAATAAATAATGGAATTTGTGTGTTGACACAGACAGATTTCCCCCAAACTGTCAGAGAAGGGGAGACGAGTGAGTGAACGGGAGCCCGAGAGGCTGGAGGGAAGGGGAGAGAAGCAGGAAGGGGAAGGGATGAGGAGGGCCTGTGGGAGAACGGGGAGAAAGGAAAAAAGAGAAGTTTGGGAAGGCAACGCTGACGGGGGGAGCCGGGCAGGGAGGAGAAGGAGCCTAAGGAACACATATTTGTAGAGGGGAAGGAAAATCAAGACAGGAACTGTGGGTGGAAAGAGGGGGGGGGGAGTGCTGCATACGCAGCTGGAAGCAGAGGGAAAAAAAAATCTGAAGGTGGAAAAGAAAGAGAAGGAGGAACAAAGGCATGGCAGTGTCCCCGGGGCTCCCTGGCTGCCTGGCAGATCACACGCTCTCCGAGCAGGGACCATATTCCCGCAGCCCTCCGCGGAGCGGCCCTGACCCCCCCGGGGCGCTCAGCGCCGCGGAGCTGGCGGTGGGGAGGCACGCATGAGTTGGTGAAATGGTGCCACTGGTGCGCAGCCAACAGCAGAAATTTGCTCTGAGATCACAAGTCCCCGAAAAACCTCCTGCGGACGCCCTGTCCCCGCGCTCCCCCTGCTCCTCCCCACCTCCCTCTCCCTGCTCCCTCTCCAGCCCGGAGCTGTTTGTTCTCTGGCTGATGATGGTTTTGTACTTTGCTTGCAACAAAGCAAAACCTCCCCTGTGCTCAGGAGCCCCACACTGAGCCCAGAAATCATCCATCCTTCCAGCAAGCCTCCAACCTGGCTGTGGCAGCAGATCCGACTGGGATGGGGGAGGCACCAGGGCTCTCTCCTTCCTTCCAGTTTGGAACACTCAAGAGCCCCGCTTGTTCCATGTTTGTGGACTGAGCCAAAAATTGTTTGGAGAGTGGCCCAGCTTGCTGAGGTCTCCAGGTCAAGAACCACTTCACTGTGGGTGTCCCCTGTTTGAAAAACCTATGTCTGAGTTTCCCATCTAAGCTGCAGGTGGGAAGCAAAAACCTCCCAGCCCAGGGATTTCCCCCCTACAAGTCTCCACCCTGCCTCCCATCCCTTCCTCAATGGCCCAGAGAAGCTGTGGCTGCCCCATCCCTGGAAGTGTTCAAGGCCAGGTTGGACAGGGCTTGGAGCAACCTGGGATAGTGGGAGGTGTCCCTGGCAGGGGGTTGGAATGAGATGAGCTTTGATGCCCCTTCCAGCCCAAACCATTCCAGGATTCTATGATTCCTGCTCCCTTCTGCAGCAACCCCAGCTCCAACCAGGGGCTGAACCTTTGCCCTTCCACAGGTGGGGCTCTCCTCTGGGGACACCTTGTCCCCCTGCATGAGGAAAGTAGGACAGGTTGGGCCAAGGGTTGACTGATCCAGGTGGCTCTCAGGGTTTCCATAGACTTGGAGGGGCAGGAATACTGGCTCTGGGGTTGTGTGGGATGATGCCACAGCAGCAGGTCAGCTGATGGATTGTGAAAGACCCAGAGGCCTCAGTAAAACAGGGATTTGGTGGCACAGCCTCCTGGCACCACCGCACCAGGTCAAAGCAAGGCAGGAGAGTTTCCAGGGATATTGCCCATGGATGTTGTTTAGCTGTAATGATGGCAAATGGCAGGAATGGCTGCCTAACTGGGGCAGCAGTAGCTTGTGGCCTGAGCAGTGGGAGGACTGGAGCTCCTGCCAAGCTCTTAAACCTTTCGGGATGTAAAACTGATGTAGAGTGCTGAAAAGCCTTGTCTTTTGCTAATAAAGTCATGGAAGCAGGGAACGATTCAGCTGGCCCAGGCAGAGCAACACACAGGGCTGGGTTGGGACCCCTTCTCTAGAATCACTCCAGGTCCCTGATCCCAGTCATTTTACTGGGATGGTGGGAATGCTGCTGCTGCTCCCCCAGTCCCAAGGAGGACATGCAAAGAGTGAAGGGAAGGTGGGCTGGCAGGAGAGGGCAGGGTTGAGGGGTGCCCAGGAAGGAAGGAAAGGGGAAGAACAGCAGGATATTGGTGCTTAGCCACTCCATGAGGCCTCAGTCCTCCTCTCCAGGGTGAGGCCAGGGAAGAAATCTGGGAGAGAGGAAGTGGAGAGGGCAAGACAGATTTGTTTTCTCTAGGGTCTGCTATGGATGCATCTCCAAACACTGCCATCAATATTTAATAGGATGCAGCCACAGGAGGCCAGCTCAGGCTGAGCGTGGTCCCCAGCCTGGCTAGGACACCCTCATCCTTCCCCCATGTCCTCTGAGCCACAGGTCATGAGGAACTGCCCCATGCCCAAGGCAGAGCCTTGTACCTCTGCCCAGGTGCTGGGAACAAGCACCAAGCTGGCTCCAGGCACCTCAAAACACTTTCACAGCAAGACCAGGCAGGACACCCCAGCCTGGATGTGGGAACCACGCAAAATGCCCCTCCTTACCCCACCAGATCCCAGTTTTAACCCGTGGAAGAGCTGCATCCCCTTTTGACAAGAGCAAATAGAGGACCCAGCAGGTACAGATCACCTGGCCCTGTTTGCTGGGGTGGGAGGGGAAGCAGGAAGGGGAGGTGCAGAGCTGGAGCCTCGCTCTCTCCAATCAAAACCCCAAGTCCTGACCTATACAGGCACATCCAGCACCTTAAATTCATCATGGAGATGGTGAATAGTAATGAAGAGTCATAGAGACCCAACAGCTCTAGTATTGGGAGCCACGAGCTAAGGGTTAACACCCCCCCAAACAGCAGTGGGAGTAAAGGGTTAACGTGGCTGGTGCAGGGAATGTTATCTCTCTTCTCTAAATATTATTTCCTCCCATGAAACCAGCTTTTCATCCTTGGCTAGAGGCAGCTCCCGCTGCTGGGAATCCAGCAAGAGCTTGTATCTGCTGCCGCACACACCACTGCTCCCAGCAAGCCGCCGAGACAAAGAGCTGCACTCCCCCGGCGTGAGCAGCCCCAGCACGGGGAGCTGGGGCCGGGGCTTCGGCCCCCGGGGCGCAGGTGGCCTCGGGATGGGTTTGGGGAGGACAGGCTTTACACCCAAGAGGAATCTCGTTAATGAAAGCGCTGCACTGCGGAGGGATTTCCTCCCCGTCTCGCAGGGACCGGGAGCAGCAGGCAGGGAAGGGCCCGGTGGCAGGAGGCTGAGCAAGCCCGACCACCTCCCCAGGGAAGGTTTTCTTGGGGGCTGCCCATTTCATACCTTGCCCCTTGCGTGTGCCAGGATGGACAAGAACAGCAGGATGCTCCATGGGGAAACCAAGGCAGCAGCCACTGGCTCCAAGGTCACAAGCTGGGAAAGAGGGAGGGTGCGGGGCAGCCCTTCCCAAGCAGTGCCAACCGAGTCCCCGGCTGCGGAGAGGGGCTGGGTGTCTGCAGAGCTGGTGGCTGGGATAAAATGGCTGCTGCTAAATCTTCTCTGAAACATCCTAAACTTTTAATGTGTATGAAACCACGGCAGCATCCCTTTCGCACCCCGGAGGGCACGAAGGCGCGAGCGTCTCCGCTCTCCCATTCAGCCGGAGCCACGTGCTGCAGCCTGCACAGCGCTGGGAACGTGGCTGGAATGAAAGTTGCCCTCCCAGCCCGTGTGCTCAGAGAGCCGAAGTCAAAGGATTGCCAAGTTAAAAGGGTCAAACCTCCAAGGACAGCTGTATCTGACTGGCTATATATCATTTCAATAGCATCTTCAACGGGGATTATAATCTGAATTGAAGCGGAAAGACCTGAGGCAATGAAGCTGTCAGCAGGCTAAGATTAAGGAATTAAAACAGCAGCACAACATTACAGGATTTGTTCTAGATGTATTAGAAAGAGCAGGCTAAACACTGCAGCCTTCCCCAGGCTGGAAATTTCATACGAGCACGGAGAAGGGCAAGCGCAAGGATTTCATCAATATACATAAAAAGAGAGAGGAGAGTGAGACAGAGCCGCGAAAACCCAGCCATGCAAAATATAAATCCTAACTGCAGACGGAAATGAGTCACACAAGGTTTGACTGAGGTAAATAAAAGCTGAAATGAAGTGGATTTAGGGGAGGGCAGAGGTGAAAAGACACTGACAGCCAGTAGACAGGAAAAAAATGGCCCTTAATATACTAAGGCTGATAAAATCTGGAAAGCAGCCCAGCCTGTCTTGGATTGCATGATGGAAATGCAGGTCCCCAGCCCTGAAGTCCCTTCCCTCTCCCAAGTTCTTACACCCTTCTCCAGAATTACTTAAAAAAACCAAGAATGATGGCAACTGCCCATCTAGGGCAGCTGGGAGCTGAGCCAGGAGAGGGGGGCACACGCCACGCCTTTGTCTCCATCGAGGTCCCCAGAAGGCCAGCCCAGCTTTGTGCTGACAGGAGACATCAGCAGCTCTTCTCAGTGGGCAGCAGAAGCTCTCAAAATAAATAAGGCATCAAACTCCCACCAAAGGACCCATTAAAAGAGTCAATTTATTTCTGGCAAATCGAACACACCTTTCTTTCATTGGCTCTATCCTAGACCAGTCGTGGGGAGGAATTTCTCCCCTGCCTTAAAGAGGGATAATTATGGGATAAAACACAAAGAAAAAGCAGGGAAGTCTCCCTTGCAGGTAAAACACACAGGAAAGTTTTGGCAACCCAGACTCCATGCAGACACCAGCCCTGCTCAGCACAAGCCATGAAGATGCAGGTTGTACCGCTCACACCGCTTGCTGTGGCACATTTCCTTCCATTACGATCCCAAAAAAACCTGGATCCCTCCCTGTGCCTCAAACACAGCCTGGGTGACAACTAGGGCCTGGTTGACAACTAGATTAATCCTGAACCAGGCCACCTGTGCAGAATGGCTGCACTTTATTGACACAAAAATGTACCCAGCAGAGCAGTTCCCGGCACGCACACGGCCACAGAGCAGCTGAGCAGCCAGATCTAGGACACAGAAGGAGATGGGAAGCTAATGAGAGGCGGAGCTTGTTCTGCAGCACAGGTAGAGCATGGAATCACTTTTCGACTCCTCCAGCCAACTTCTACTGAGAGATTTACATACAAGTCCTCCATCAAGTCTTTGAAGAGTTATCCAGAGTTCCCTGGGTAAAAACAAACTGTTTAGAGAAAGAGGAGAGTCCGGAGCTGCTCAGTGATTCTTTTTGGTTGAGCCAAAACCAGAGAAGCCCATCACAGCTGCCATTTCATCATCCTCCTCAAAGGTCAAATCTTCCTCCGCCCGCCTCTTCTTCTCTCTCTGCTTCTCCTTCTTGTAGGCTTTGGCCTTCTCCTCCTGCAGCAAGGGACACAACAGCAACACAATTTGCACCTCCTGAGCTGAGGGAGCTCTTGAGACACTGGGCACTGCACAGCTAAAGCCATGTCCTGCCTACGGCACCCAAGTTGTGCCTGAGGAAATAGGCAGCAGAAATCCTGGCCTGTGGTCTCTGAGGAGAACATTTCCCAGAGAATCCAGACCACCCCGCCTCCCACCCCAAGAGCAGACCCACACACACAAGATGTAGCCAAAAAAAAAAAAAAAGTGTTATGAAACTCTCTCTTCTGAGCAAACATCACAAGTTATGCCTGGAATGAAGGCTGAGGCAAGAGGGAGCTGGTTTGAAAGCAGGAGGCTGTTCCCTCATCCGACGCCCCGTGCCAGTGACTGTGATGCCTGTTGGCTCTCGGCCTGGCAGAGTGACAGCTGCTCACTGGAACAGAAGCTAAAGCTCTGAGCAGCTTTGGAGGGGGGGGTTGGCATCAAAGAGTTTGCGCTGCTCTAATCAAAGTGTTTTGCTCTGTGAGGATCACGAGCCCTGGAACAAAGCCAGGCTTGTACCAGGTGACACCAAGCATGGCTTCAGCTCCCATCTTACCAACTGCTCCTGCCATCCCCAGCACCGTGCCCTGGAGAAAGCTGCGCCAGGAGTTGCTGCCCATTTCCTTGCTGCCATCCATGGACTTGGCAGCAGCTTTCCAACCCACAGCACTCCCTGTGCTGCTGGGGCACCTCCCTCCTACCCCCCCCAAACAGACGGGGCTTTGCCCAAGGGCAGAGGATGGGGCTGCTCTGTGAGCACCCCAGAGAGCTCCCCTGTGGTGAAGCAAAGCTCAGGGCTTGGGCAGAGAGACTCAAACAGGCAGTGATTTGTAATCTTGGGTTATTACACGGCTGCTGATGGAGGAGAAGCATCCATAGCAGCTCCTCAGCTGTCAGAACTTTGGTGGGCTTTCAAGTCAACTTGATTTTCATGTTTACTGACACCTAAGCCCTGGTTTGAGAGGGATCTGTTGTCTTTCACCTCCTCCTCACACATCTCACACCACAGCACACTGCTCACAAAGCCCTTTGACACTCAAGGAGGCCACACAGAAGCAAGTGCCACGTGGAGGAGGATCCCAGCAATCCTAAGAACTGTGGAAGATAAGGGACAAAGACACAGGTCTGCTTTCAGAGCACCCAAGTTCCAACACAACTAATGGGAGACAAAAAGTGGGCTTGTGTGGCATTCAGTGGAAACCCGAACCACCAAAAGTTATCCTCCCACAGAAAATGGGGACAAGGGTTTCCAGAGACAGCAGCAAAAACCTTTAAAAGAGTAAATAATAAAAAACCAAAACCCACTCATAGCTGCAGACAGGAGTGATACCAAGAACAAGGCTTCTGTGGAACAAGATTAGGAAGCAGGGTTGATTTCCTCCCAAAATGTGATTCTGGGGAGCTTTGCTTCCTCAGTTTTTGCCCCAGACTCACCTCCTCACGGAGTTCCTTCATCCTCTCCTCGAAGTCATAGTCCTTCTGCTTCTCCTCCATCTTCTTCTTGTTCACCTCAAAGCGTTTCTTCACCTGGTCCAGCGTGGAACGCTCCACCCGCATGGACATGCCCAGATTTCTCTGGTCTGGAGAACAGGAGTGGAATCAGCAACACCTGCAGCCCTCAGTGCTCTGCACAGTCCCCATCCCTGACCCCAACTGAAACAGCACAGCAGCATCTTCCTGCCTCTCATCCATCCCCTCAAAGCAGCTTCCAGGCCAGGACTACCCCCGTGCACAAGGATTTCTTAGGTCAGAGGGCGTGGGCTTTAGGGGGACACCATAACCCAAACCAGCAGTGACCACAACAAGCCAAACATTACTTGTAACAAGACAAACACTGTTCTTTTAAGGCTCCCTATTTGGATGCTCCCTGTCATGTTGGTGCTCTGATGCTTCAGGAAATTTAAACTTGGACCAGTGGAATAAAAAAGGGTTGGAGTGTTGAAAAAGGAGCCGTAATAGAACTGGCAGACTGGTATCTCTTGGCAGTGGGTGATGCTAAACAAGACATGAGTGGCACTCAGAGATCCTGAATTACACAGGACATTGCTCACTAAAGCAGGAACAGGAAATATCAAGCCAGGCTGCAACTTTAGTGTCTCTTTAGAGCAGATTCCCAGTTTCTCACTCATGGGCAAGCCTAGGTTGGAGGGGCCATCCCCAGCAATGTCTCCAACCCGCATTCCTGGGTAGATCCAAACAGCCTGTTGACTCCAGCAGCCGTGCATGGGTTTGTCCCAGGGGTGCAAAAGCACTTGGAAGCTCAAACTATACACCAGGAATAATAAGAGGACTGCCAAGAACAAGCAGGTTTAAGCCAGATTTATGGCCTTGGATCAAAAGCTCTCAATGTACTCATACCAAGGTACTGTGCATCAGCCACTTTCCAGCCCCAGCTCAACCCTGCATCTCATCCCATCTACACAGCCATGCCAGGATTTTGGATTCCAGGCTCTCTCATATGGATTTCTTGCCAATCTCCCAACATGTCAAACAAGGCATGTCAACACCCTCCTCCCATCCACATAAAAGCACAGGGCTTTAACACATTGGGTTTCCTTTTCTGAGCTACAGAAAACCAGCTCTCAGATCTCTTCTGAACCCCCAGTTCTCAAACTGCTCCTTGTGCAGGTCTGGAGCACACCCCTCCCTGCCTTTGTGCAAAGGGGCCATTTGCTGACTTCCACAAGGAGCCAAAAACACCTCTAAGGGAAGGAACAACTTGGGAAGTGTGTCAGTGTATCCTGCTGCTCCTTTAATTTCTCCACGTTCCCCCACTCTCTGAACATGCCAAGGAAAAGCAATGATCACAGTCAGTGGGTATAATCCTCTTTTTCAGGTTAAACACACTAAGGGAACAGATTGATAAACTGGGAATTCTTCCGTCTTGTCTTTATCTTGACTTAACTGCATCATCACAGCAGCAGAGACAAGAACCAGAGTGAGGTACAGGACATCACTGCTGGAGACAGCTCCAGAGTCAAACTGCCCCACTCCTGCCTCTGCTCATCCTCTGCCTCCATCCTCACAAGGTCTGATCTGGAGCTCAGGGACAGCCAGTTTTGAGCTTCACACTTGATTTCTATAAAGAGAAGTTTCCAACCCAAAAATGGGCCAGTGATAGACCTTACACTTCTCTAAAAATTTCATTACAGTTTCAGTGCTGTGAAAAGCCTCTCTCCAGATTTTCAGGAGACATAGGGATTTGCTGACCCTGGGAAGATACACCTAACCAGAGTACACCACCACTGTTTCTACTGGGCTTATTCCATGAGAATGGTCCAGCACACTGGAAGGTGCCAGGAGATAAAGGCAGTGCCTCCACAGCTCTCAGGAGCAAACAGTCCCCACATCCTGATGTCCAAAGCACTTTCATCCATGGATGTGTTCAGCCCTCAGATATGGGTGATGCAGGAAGGGAACAGCCTTTCAACTCAACCAACCAGAGGCAGAGAAATGATCCTTACGTTTTTTGCCATTGATGTGATCCAAGAAGTTAATGGAATCTTTCACCACACAGTCACACACATTACAGTAGTACCTGGCAGGAGAGAGAGAAAAGATTAACCCCAAAGCATGAGACAAACCCCTTCCCACAGAACAGCTATTTGAGACAATCTGCATGTCAATTGGGATATGGGACTTTTTTCCAGGACAAGAGGATCCCAGGGAAGAGCAATGAGCAGGGGCACGCTCCAGATGGACAGAGACACCCCAGAGGGATCTGCCCTTACACCAACACCCCTCTGACACGATAGAAACCAAATTCTGAGCTGCTCTGCAATACCAGCCACAGCATCTTCCCCTTCCAGTCACACCCAGCTGGGTGGGATGGATTCTGTGACCTGTCCTCCCCCAGTTCCTTTACATCCCTCTGCCTCTCACCTGGCTGCAAGGTGAGTCCTGCCATCCCCATCACCTCACAGAGCAACTCCCTGATCTGCTTTCTGCCCATCTCAACAGCTGCTGCAAAAGCCCAGCCAGGGGCTGCACTTCCATCCCTGGATGCTGTTCAGGGCTGCCCATCTCCCTGGCACTGCTGGCCAGGGAGACACTAACAGGCTCACTCCTGAGGTGACACAAACTCAACACAGTCCTTTAGGGTGAGCTCAGAATCCTTTCAGCCTTTGGTGGAAAACAATCCACACAAACAGTGGCCAAACACCATTCCTAAGGACAGGTACCTGGATGTTTCTCCCATTCCCTGTGCACAGATATCCAAACCAGAACCTCAGAGCAGCAGCAGCCCTGGTCTCAGTGCAAGCAGGTCTGGCTAAAGAAACCCAAGGCAAAGATTTGCCTCCTTGTTGTTCCTACATTTGGACAACACTGATATCAAGGAATAATGTCCAAAGGGGCTCAGCCTGCTGGGTCTCTTCCATATGTTACCCCAGGAGACACAATTTAGGTGTAAACCAGTGCAGTCCCACTGCCCCAGGCTCCAAACACAGGAGGAAACCAGCTCCTGGTGCCCTGTGAGGGGTCCCTACTGTGACACAGCCCAACTCTGAGACTCCAACAAGACCATGACCTACCCCCCCATCTCTGACTGAGGGGTAGTTTTGGTGATGACGATGGTTTTCCCCAGCTTGGATTCCAGGTCCACTTTGTAGTCTCGGTGCCGCAGAAGTTCCCTTTTGACGGGCTGAGCTGGTTTGCCTAAAACATAAACAAAAGGTCAAGGCTGACACGGTGGATTTGATGTTCCCCTTGGGGAAGAGGGGCCTGCTGGGAACCTGGGACCACCTGATCCATGCAGAAAATGCACCTTTGTTTTTAAGTCAGTAAAGGATATAATTTCTTCCTACTAGAACCAGGTACATCTCTGAGGTATCTCCAGCTCTGACTTGGGTCATATTCTGAGAGCTCCTTCTTTCAGGGGCTGACTGTTCCCCTCCCTCCCCAAAGGTTCTCACTAATTCCTGTTGTCAAAAAAATGCACTCGGTGGCAAACACAGGAATAAGGGCTGGAGCAAGCCAGTTTTTCCCTTCTGGGACTTGACTTCTAGCTGCTCTCTCCCTCCCAAACTCCAGGGATTTGGGAGACTCGGTGCCAGCACAGCACAGCCTGCCTGGGGCCAGCACACTACGCACCATCTTTCTTTTCTCTCTCCTCCGTGAGCCGCTTCTCCGCCAGCTTCTCATATTCATCCTTGTCCCACTTCCTGCGGAAGTCCAGGTTCTTGGTCTGGGAGGCAAACAAAGTGCATTAACATTTATCATACAGTCTGATCACCTCTGAGGGGGAAAAGAGGTGGAATCACTCAGCCTGTGAGGCCACGGCAGTAAATTAGGGGCATTACGTTATATCCCCATGTCCTTTGTTTTCCTATCTAGGAATTATGGATGTGGCTTAAGAGAATCACTCTCAGCGTGGCTCTGGGTACTTACAGAAGGATTTCAGAGCACTGAGAGAAGAAATGAGTTTATCTCAATAGCTCCTGAGATGATCATCCAGGCTTTTGCCTTGAAAACTAGACCCAACCGGGATTGAAAGTGCTGGATCTAAGACCTGGGAAGTGCCCCCTGACAGACACAGCACAGATTACACCTACTCCTTCCAAGAGTCAATTGAACCCAAGTTGCAAATAACAGATGAGGAAGCTGTGAAACACAGTCTGAGCTAGAGAGTTTGATTAAAATGCAGAAGCAGGGAAGACTGTTACAGGCATCAAAATGCAGACTTTGCCGTGAAATCAGAGGCATCAGTGTGGGACTTCCAAGTACAGCAAAGCAAACCAGAAGAGGCTCTGAAACCCTGTCTGCCAAGGCAGGGCTTGGAAGTACCAGAGAATCATCTGTACAAAATGCACAGAAAGCTCCTGCAGCTTCCTACAGAAACACCTCCGAGGCACTGGGCCTTCAGCAGCTCCACAGAGCTCTCTCTGGCAGTGACAGGGTAAGTTCATGGAATCATGGAACAGTTTGGGTTGGAATGGATCTCATTCCACCCCCTGCCATGGGCAGGGACACCTTCCACCAGACCAGGTTGCTCCAAGCCCCGTCCAACCTGGCCTTGGACACTTCCAGGGATGGGGCAGCCACAGCTTCTCTGGGCAACCTGTGCCAGGGCCTCCCCACCCTCACAGGGAAGAATTCCTTCCCATTATCCCATCTAACCCTGCCCTCTGGCAGTGTGGAGCCATTCCCCCTTGTCCTCTCCCTCCATCCCTTGTCCACAGTCCCTCTCCAGCTCCCCTGGAGCCCCTTTAGGCACCAGAAGGGGCTCTAAAATCTCCCTGGAGCCTTCTCTCCTCCAGGTGAACACCCCCAGCTCTCCCAGCCTGGCTCCAGAGCAGAGGGGCTCCAGCCCTTGGAGCATCTCCAGGCCCTCCTCTGGACTCACTCCAACAGATTTCTTTTCTGTGCTGAGGACCCAGAGCTGGATGCAGCACACGTGTGAAGAGAGGCTGAATTCAAGTGAAGGCACTGACAAACACAAAGACTATTTTCTGGGGTGATTTTCACCCAGTCCCCAACGCTGAGGGCAGAAGTGACTGCACAAGAATCTCTGTTCCACCCACACCCACTCTAACCAAACCAGCTCAGGCTCTTCCGAGTGTCTGCCCCATCTGCACCTCAGGCCCCTGTACCTGGGATCAGTCATGGTTTAACTCAGCCACTTCCTGCCTTCCCTGAGCAGATAACTCCCATCTGGACAGAGCTGCATTTCCCTCAGCACGGCAGGGAGAGCCTCTCAGTTTCACATTAAAAAAAGGACAGATGTATTTAAAAACACCTCCGGGAGAGAAGGACCCCCACGCTCCCCCCGCCTTCTCTGTTCAGCCAAATCAAGAATCCAATCACAATCCAAAGGACACAAATCCCATTTGGAGCTACAGCAGCAGCACAGCCATTTAAGGTTCTCTCCTCTGGCAATCCTTCAAATGGAACGAACAACCACTGATAGGGATGAAAATGCCTTGGGGAGGCGTAGAAAAATTCTCATTTATTCCCAGAGCTTTCTTAAGCACTTTAAGGATGTCGTAACAGGTTTTATTAACCACCCTGAGCAAAAGAAAAGAAAATATCACAGAGTGTAAATTAACGTTTGGGGGTATTTTCCAGACTCTCCTGCATGCCAGGCATTATCACAAATCCCCCTGCAGAGGGGGAGGTTTATTTGCTGCTTCTCTCTCTCTCCTGTTGTAATAAAAGTAAAAGAGCCTTTTGCAGCTCTTTTACCAATCTGCCTCATCCAGGCATGGGGAAAGAAATTAAGCCCAACTGCTCGACAAGATCTTGCTTGGACAATACCTGAAGGGATGTTTCTGAATTGCTCTGGTGGAGGCAGGGGGGCTGCAAGCCCCAAAATCATTATCTCAGAGAGTATTTACCAAATTACTAACAACAATTAATAACCAGAAGTGCCCCACAGCTTCCTGTTCCCTCTTGAGATAGGCATCAATGATCTGCTCAGTATCAGCACCAAAGCCTATTAAATGATAGAGGAGTGTCAAGCCTGACTCAATCCAACAGGAATTCTCAGCTGGCAGCTGACAATAAACCAGAAGCCCCATCTTCCTCCTGGGGAGAAATCCTGCTGCTCACCTCCATCACTGCTCACTTCATGGAATCACAGAGTGAATCCCAGAATGGTTTGGGCTGGAAGGGACCTTGAAGATCATCCAGTTCCAACCCCCTGCCATGGGCAGGGACACCTTCCACTAGCCCAGGCTGCTCTAAGCCCTGTCCAACCTGGCCTTGGACACTTGCAGGGATGAGGCAGCCACAGCCTCTCTGGGCAACCTGTGCCAAGGCCTCCCTTCTCACTTCTAGCAAGTGGCTTCAAGAAGGGAAAGATGGACCGACAAAAGCAGAAAAGGCAGAAAAACACAGCTGCTACACTGCTGGCAGCTCTGGGGTGTCACTGGAGGTGTTCAAACCACCTTGGCTGTCCAGCCATACTGTACTCACAGCATCCCACTCACCCACTCCATCTCAGCATTCACAGAATCACTGAGGCTGGAAAAGCCCTCCCAGCCCACGGAGTTCACCCTGTGCCCAATCCCCACCTTGTCACAAGCCCAGAGCACTGAGCGCCATGTCCAGTTCTTCCGTGGACACCTCCAGGGGTGGGGACTCCACCACCTCCCTGGGCAGCCCCTTCCAATGCCTGACCACCCTTTCCAGGAAAAAATTCCTCCTGGTGTCCAACCTGACCCTCCCCTGGCACAGCTTGAGCCGTTTCCTCTCATCCTGTCCCTTGGTCCCTGTGAGCAGAGCCCGATTACCCCGCCCCGGCTCCCCCCTCCTATCAGGGAGTTGTAGAGCTGCTTCTCCAGCAGGACAGTGTGAAATCCAGCCGGGAAACAGCCAGGACGGCCGAGAAGCCACAGGGAGTGGGGAGACAGGGAGGGGAAGGAGGGAGACGCCCGCACGAGCCACTGCCCATCCCAGGAGGTCCCTGGGGTGGGGTGGGATCCCCAGGAGGTTGGGGCAGCTCAACCTCCTCAGGCTGGGACAGGGGGAGGATCACAGAATCACTGAGCTGGGAAAACCCCTCTGAGACCACCGAGTCCACCCTGTGACCCAACACCACCTCGTCACCCAGCCCAGAGCACCGAGTGCCACGTCCGCCCTTTCCTTAAACACCTCCCGGGACGGCGACCCCACCACCTTCCTGACGGGCGCGATCGCGGCGGGGCCCTTCCAGCCTTTAACACATCAGGGCCTTTCACAGGGCCCCGAACCTCCCACCGCCCACACACACAGAGACATAAAGAGCAGGCATGTGCTCTCTCCCACCGCACCCCTCACGCCGCGGCCTGCCCGCGGGCCCCCAGCGCGGAACGGCCCTGCCCCGCCGCCCGCCCGCCCTCAGCACAGCCCCCACGACCCTCCCCAAGCCCCGGCGAGCCCGGGAGGCGCGTCGGGAGGCGCGGCAGCTCCTACCCCGGGGGTACCCACCCCGCTGCCCGACGCCATGGCGGCCTGAGGGGGGACGGCACCGGGAACTGTCGCGCGGCGCCGTAAAGCGCGGCCTCCCGCCCGGTGTCACGTGCGCCCCCGGTGTCACGTGTCCCCCCGCGCTCCCGGTGCCGCCGGTGTCACGTGCCGCCGGTGTCACGTGTCCCCGCGCTCCCGGCGCCCCGGTCCCGGTCCCGGCCCCGGCCATGCTGCGGATCGGCCCCATCGCCGCCGCCGCCGCCGCTTTCGCCCGCCGGGCACCGCCGCGGCACCGCCTCGCTGGGAACCGGGAGAGCATCCCCCGGTCCTGGCCGCCGGCTCTGTCCCGGGGCGGGGGCGGCGGCGGCGGCGGGAGGGTGGTGCCGGTGCTAAAGACGCCCAAGGTAAAGGCGGGGATGCGGCGCCGGTGGGTACCGAGCGTTCCCGCCCGGCCCCGCCGCTCACGGCTCGTTCTCCGTGTCCCGGGCAGGGCACCCGCGACCACCCGCCGGCGCAGGCGGCGCTGCGGGAGCGGCTGCTGGGCGCCGTGGTGTCCTGCTTCAAGCGGCACGGGGCGGCCGCCATCGACACCCCCGTGCTGGAGCTGCGGGTGAGGCGCGGGGGGAACCCCTCGGTGCGGGGCGGGACCCCCACGGCGGCTGTGGGACATCCCTCCCCGCTCCTTCCCCCACAGGGGCTGTGGGACCCCCCTTGTGCTCCTTCCTGCGGGTCGGGACCCCCACAGGGGCTGTGGGACCCCCCTCCCTGCTCCCTTCTGCGGAATGGGACCCCCCCAAGTCTGCTCCCTCCTGTGGGACGGGACCCACATAGGGGCTGTGGGACCCCCCTCTGCTCCTTCCTGCAGGATGGGACCCCCATACGGGCTGTGGGACACCCCCCCCCNCTCCCCAAGCCCCGGCGAGCCCGGGAGGAGCGTCGGGAGGCGCGGCAGCTCCTACCCCGGGGGTACCCACCCCGCTGCCCGACGCCATGGCGGCCTGAGGGGGGGACGGCACCGGGAACTGTCGCGCGGCGCCGTAAAGCGCGGCCTCCCGCCCGGTGTCACGTGCGCCCCCGGTGTCACGTGTCCCCCCGCGCTCCCGGTGCCGCCGGTGTCACGTGCCGCCGGTGTCACGTGTCCCCGCGCTCCCGGCGCCCCGGTCCCGGTCCCGGCCCCGGCCATGCTGCGGATCGGCCCCATCGCCGCCGCCGCCGCTTTCGCCCGCCGGGCACCGCCGCGGCACCGCCTCGCTGGGAACCGGGAGAGCATCCCCCGGTCCTGGTCGCCGGCTCTGTCCCGGGGCGGCGGCGGCGGCGGGAGGTTGGTGCCGGTGCTAAAGACGCCCAAGGTAAAGGCGGGGATTGCGGGCGGCGCCGGTGGGTACCGAGCGTTCCCGCCCGGCCCCGCCGCTCACGGCTCGTTCTCCGTGTCCCGGGCAGGGCACCCGCGACCACCCGCCGGCGCAGGCGGCGCTGCGGGAGCGGCTGCTGGGCGCCGTGGTGTCCTGCTTCAAGCGGCACGGGGCGGCCGCCATCGACACCCCCGTGCTGGAGCTGCGGGTGAGGCGCGGGGGGAACCCCTCGGTGCGGGGCGGGACCCCCACGGCGGCTGTGGGACATCCCTCCCCGCTCCTTCCCCCACAGGGGCTGTGGGACCCCCCTTGTGCTCCTTCCTGCGGGTCGGGACCCCCACAGGGGCTGTGGGACCCCCCTCCCTGCTCCCTTCTGCGGAATGGGACCCCCCCAAGTCTGCTCCCTCCTGTGGGACGGGACCCACATAGGGGCTGTGGGACCCCCCTCTGCTCCTTCCTGCAGGATGGGACCCCCATACGGGCTGTGGGACACCCCCCCCCCCGCTCCCTCCTGCGGGACTGGGGAGCTCCGTCTTCCCCCGGGGATTCGGGGCAAGTCTGAGGGAACTCCTCGTGTGGTGAGGGCAGGGGTGACAGTCCCTCTTGGGACCTGTGGGGGGATGGGGAGGTGGACCCAGGTCTGAGAGGGCTGGAGGGGGGATGTGTGTAATGGCCACTCCGGCTTGACTTGAGGGGCTCTGGGGGGAACTGAACTCTGTGCCCATCCCAGGGGACTCTGTGCCCCAGAGCCACCTGGTCACCAGCCCCCTCGTCCCTCCCCAGGAGACGCTGATGGGGAAGTACGGGGAGGACACGAAGCTCATCTACGAGCTGCAGGACCAGGGAGGGGAGCTGCTGGCCCTGCGCTACGACCTCACCGTATCCTGAGCTCCCCAGGGGACGGTGGCACCCCGAGGGGATGGGGGCATACCACCTTTGTGGGGTCCCCCTTGGCCTGCCCTGCCTGCAGGACCCACTGGGGTGTTGGACCTCCTTGTCCACCCTGCCTGGCTGTCACTGTCATGACCCCACCTCACACCAGCCCCCAACCAGGCTGGGACCCACAGCAAAGCCCCTCCCATGGGCTGCAGACCTGCACCAGTTTGCTCCTCTCTACTGGTTTTATGTCCTCCCAGTTACAGTCCCCACCTCTGCTCTGCCCATCCCACCTTCCCAGTGCCATCTGGAGAAGTGTTTGCTGCAGGAGCCCATCCCAGGCCTTCTTCACCTGCACATCTCACCCAAAATCTCTCCTGTTCAATATCTGTAGGGCTGTGCCATACACTGAATTCCCTCTGATCACACTGTGAGAGGGTAGAATGACGAGAGAGGGTCAGTGTGTGCATAGGGTTGTCCTGAGTGGGTCAGGAGGAGGAAATAGAGCTGTCCCAGTGTTGGAGGAGCTCAGCTGCTTCATTCTACTCATCCGCAGTCCAGGCTGATGATTTCCCTAAAAATCATAGAATATCCTGAGTTGGAAGGGACCCACAGGAAACATCAAAGTCCAACTCCTGCCATGCACAGGACACCCCAAAAATCCCACCATCATTGTGAAAAAAACTGGGGAGCACCTGGCAAAGGGAAAGGGAGACGGGGGGCTGGGAGGTTCAGCTTTGCAGCTCCAGGGATCTCCCTGTTCCCATCCTTAACTCCCTGGGCCCAGGTGCCCTTCGCTCGCTACCTGGCCATGAACAAGGTCAACAACATGAAGCGCTACCACGTGGCCAAGGTGTACAGGAGGGACAACCCGGCCACCACCCGGGGCCGCTACCGCGAGTTCTACCAGTGCGTGAGTGTTGGGGTGGCAGCAGGGTTTTCCTGGCTGGGGCACCTCCAGCTGCTGCAGAGCAGTGTGGTGTGCCCGGCCAAAGCCCCTCAGCTGTGCCAGGAGCCTCCGTTGCTGCTTCTGCCCCCAGGACTTCGACATCGCCGGGCAGTTCGACCCGATGATTCCCGATGCCGAGTGCCTGAAGATCGTGCACGAGATCCTGAGTGACCTGCAGCTCGGGGACTTTGTCATCAAGGTGAGGCCAGGCGGGTTCTCTGTGCCATGGTGGGAAGCAGTGGTCATTGTTCCTGGGGTTTTACACAGCAGCACCTGTTCCCACTCTCAGGCCTGATCCAGGAGTTCATCCCGCCTCTCTGTGTCCTCATGCTAAAGGCTGGACCTCAGCTTGAGCTGGGAATGCCCAGAGGCTTCCTCAGTCTGCAGTTGGCAGAGTTCTCTCCAGGACTAACCACAGTCCCCTGCAAAATTCCAGCAGCCAACTAGAACCATAAAGTCACGGAATGGTTTTCATACCTCTGCACCTTCCCTTCCCGTGGGAAAGGCAGGAGGAAATGCCAGCAGCTGCAGATTGCCATACACTGGGACCAAAGGAATGACACTGGGGGGGATGTCCCTGAGCTAAGTGTGCCTCTCCCTCCCCCAGGTCAACGACAGGCGGATTTTGAACGGTGTGTTTGCTGTCTGTGGTGTCCCAGAGAGCAAGTTCATAACGGCCTGTTCCACCGTGGACAAGCTGGACAAGGTCAGCCTTGGGCTCATGGGGAGATGCTTCTGGTCTTGAGCTGGGCAGTGTCATGGCCCCTTTTGACATAAAGAGGGTCACAGCAGCAAAGTTGTTGGCGTGGGTAAAGGATTTGGGGATCTCTTGGAATAAAACCTGGTGATTCCAGTGGTTTGTTAAAAATTCCTGTGAGAGAGAGAGAGATACAGATAATTAGTGAGATGTGCAGGATGACAGTCAGCAGACTTGTGCTCATGTGGGCTGGTGGAGGCAGTGGTGAGGAGAAGAGTGGGAAACCCCACTGTGGGAAACCAGTGGGTGAGGAGAATGTCCTGCAGTAACAGATGCCCTTCTGTCCCCTCACAGGTGCCGTGGGAGGAAGTGAGGAGCGAGATGGTGGGAGAGAA